AACCGTCACGATGGCCACATTACAAAAAGAGACGATAGTCCAAAAATGTAGGATGTGCAAGAACAATACTATTTATTTATGTAAAAGGTGTAGAATGCATCTACACCCCGAATGTCTCGAAAACTTTCACCTAAAAATTTAATTTACATTTAAGATACAATATGTTCCTTTATTAAAAATTGTACTGTTTTCCTTGAAGAACACACTACGCCTATGCACATATATAATTTGGAAGGAATAAATTAAATATCATATTTCTCTCATTACCATTCTTTCTAAGAACGTAAATATATATAGACCAGCAAAATATTGATAAGTTTACCAATGTTTCAAACTATTCAATGAACTTCTCTCAGTATACACTCGTGAATCGCACCAATTTATATTGTTACGGGGGTAAATTTATCTTACTTTTTCACTTATTAACAAGTGGGAATTTACAAGTTATAATTTGGAAATTTGAAATTACAAGAAAATTGCTTCAAAACAAGGATTTATTTACAAACCCCGTTTTGTTTCTCTTCCTCAATTTATCTCTGTGTATTCTGTGATCTGACTACTAAAGGGTACCTGTTTAATGTTTTCCATTAATGGTTTTGAATTAAAGTATCTTTGATATTAAATAATGATCAACATCGTGTATATAAGATACGCTTAATTTAAATTAATGTGTAAAGCAAATTATTTGTCAGATCAAATTTTCTTTTATACTTACGTTTTCTTTGTTTGCAACAAATAATCTAACATAACAAAACAAAGATAATTGTAGCGACAGCGGTGACGTCTATATGAGAGGGTGAGAACTAATTGCCTTTAATTATTTCACACAATTTTAACATGAGCTCCTCTAGGCATTCGTAAAAAGATAAAACTAAAATATACTAGATTTAAAACTTTTGTTATCAAGAAATTGATAAGAGGGAGACGAAACGTCCGTGAACACACCAAAATTAATAAAATATACAGTATTTAACCAATTATAAAAAAATATAAAAACATTTGAAAGAAAAATGAAACCTCCCAAATATTTGTCGATCAACAAAATGATGAATAGAAATAAAAATCGATAAAAATAATATAAGAAATAAATACAAACAGCGGGAAAGAAATTTTGAAAGTGATAAAGCAGTTGTTCTCAATCTATTTTCTGGTGTCGATTTAAATTTGTAATTAATATTGAATAATATTGTAAAATTCATCGTTGTATTTACTTCCTTATTAATTTTCAACCAGCCCACTTATTAATCTCCTTCTTTCCGTTCTTCTTCTATCGGAGATTGGATGTCAACAAGGTTATTCGAACGTTGTTTACAGCTGTTCTAAACAGTTCGTTTGTGGTGCAACGAAACCACTCTCTCAGATTTTTCGTCCATTACATTCTTATGCGGATGGATTCCTTCCTCCTTCAATATTTTCCTGCATTATATTTTTTTAGGAATATGTATCATTAGATGCGACTAGATTAGATATCACCACATCTCGAAACTCTCAATGCTTTTTATATTGTTCTGTTTGAGAATCCATGCTTTCACACCGTACAAAAAAGTACTAAACACATATGTTATTAGCATTCTAATTCATAGAGAGAGACTGATATCACGATTATTCAACAGTTTCTTCATTTTTATCTAAATGGACCTAGCAAATTTCAATACGTCTTTTGATCTCGATATTTTGATCACTTTTCGCGTTTATCATAGCTCCCAGGTATTTGTGATTACATTTGCTCTTAAATGGGTGTTACTTATAGTAATGTCTATTACGTATACTACAAACATATAATAACGTTTACTAAAAACTGTAAGCTTTATAGCATTATTTCCAAAATATTTAGAATTATTAAAACAGCGCTTCGTTATTACCTCCCTTAAAGAGCATCGTATAAAATATGTACAGAATTTTAGAATTTGTTATGGAAAAATTCCGAAACATGTAAAAAGCTTAATGATAAAAACAAACTGTATTACAATCTACGCCAAACCTATATTTAGACAATTATTTGAAGTAGGATATAATTTTTAGAAAAAAAATTTTACGATAAATTTAAATACTGCAAATATGTTATTAAATATTTCAGGATTGCATTTTAAACCATAAAGAAAGAATTATAATCTGGACATTTTACTTGCATATTTATGTGGTTTTACTGGCTTACTATTTTGTATTTGGAATAATGCCATTATGATAATATTGCATAAAAAAGGAGATGTAACAGAAATTGGCAACTACAGACCTATCAACTTATTATCTCATTTATATAAACTCTTTATGAGAATAATTACTAACAGACTGGGACCTAAGCTAGATTTTCATCAACCTCTAGAGCAGGCCGGATTTAGGAGTGGCTTTGGAACAAATGACCACCTACAAGTAATAAAATCCTTGATAGAGAAAGTTATAGAATACAACAAGCCATTGATATTAATATTTGTAGACTTTGAGAAAGCATTTGACTCAGTCCAGCATAGCTCCATGTTAAGAGCTCTTACAGAGTGCAGTATTGACCATAGGTACACAACTCTTCTTCGAAATATATATGATAGCGCAACAGCTGCTGTAAAAATGTACTATGGTGACACAGACACATTTCCCTTGGAGAAAGGTATTAGGCAAGGAGACACTATCTCTCCTAAACTATTCACCGCCCTATTACAGAGTGCTATGAGAAAAAATAATTGGGAAAATATTGGATTAAATATAAATGGGGAATTTTTGAACAACTTGAGGTTTGCAGACGACATAGTCCTTATTGCAGATCAGGTAGATCATGCATGCCAACTTCTTCAAGACCTTCAGAGCTCTTGTGCACGAGTTGGCCTTAAAATTAATTTTTCCAAAACACAATACATGACCAACCTGGTACTGGCAAAAAACATTTCCACTAATGGCACGCAAATTGAACAAGTGTATTCCTATAAGTATCTGGGCCACGAGATTAAATTGGGAAGAGACAATCAAACAACAGAGTTAAAAAGGAGAATAGGAATGGCATGGGCAGCTTACGGAAAACTGAGGGAAGTCTTTAAATCAGCTCTTCCCATGTGCTTGAAGAGAAAAGTTTTTGATCAGTGTGTACTTCCAGTTCTGACATATGGAGCAGAAACATTGACACTTACCAGAAAAGTAATTAATAAGATACAAGTGGCACAGAGAGCGATGGAGAGGTCAATGTTGGGCGTATCACTCAGGGACAGAGTTTCGAGTCAGATAGTAAGGAGAAAAACTGGTGTGACGGACGCAGTTGAAAGAATTACAACCCTGAAATGAAACTGGGCAGGACATGTTGCTAGGGTCAGAGATGGAAGATGGACAAAGAAAATTTTAGAGTGGAGGCCTAGACACGATGCTTATCGTAGTCGAGGACGTCCTCCAACAAGGTGGTCTGACGATTTAAAGCGCATCCAGTCTAACTCAATTCAAGTTGCTCAAGATCGGATGCAATGGAATTATTTACGGGAGGCCTATGTTCAGCAGTGGACGCAAAATGGCTAATGATGGTGATTATGATGATGGTAATTCCATTGATACGGAGATCGTGGTTGAGTAAATTTTCGTTAACTGTCCGGATTTTAAAGTTAATGTGTTTTTTTAATAATTAATTCCCTTATTCCCCTATTTAAATTAATCAATACGATAAATATTGTATCAAACAAACAAGCGGCATGTGCAAAAGCAATTTAAACTACGTAGTTAAAACTATTTGAAGATGAAGAACTAGAAACAAATAATGATTTATACTTATATATCTTAAGGAACGTCCACACTTCTTGCTTGGGCATGTAATTTAGTATTGGCTTAGTTAGTCAATTTTTATCCATTCTATTTATGTTATTTTTCATTTTGATCTGTATTATTTTCTTATCGATCTAGTAGTAGATATTTAGCTCTTGTCCTGCGCATTTATTGCTCTATCTATCAAGCTTAAGAATGCATTTCACTCTTCTGGGGAATCTCATTTCACTACTACCTTGGAATATATCAATATATAATATTATACAGGTATGTATGTTATTCAACCTCCCATTACTTTGAACGGCGCTACCTGCAAAGTTGAATTTAAATGTCACCGCGTACTCGTTTTTGTCACTCTGTCACTGTCACTCATACTGTCACTATTGATTTCTTTTTCATACATTTGTCATAGTCGTCATTTGACAGAAATTCATTGTCAGATCTATTTTTTTAAATTTTCCCTTTATTTAATTAGTCAAGCATAATAGGTACCACGTTGTTCACCAATTTAAAACGTGAGTAGTAAATTGACCCATGTTATAACGTGAACAAAATTGACTACTCTACAATGTGGCCAAAAAAATATAAGAGACGTAAACCTACGCCTTATTAGTGCGTTTATCTGATGGGGAAACATTGACACTGGGTTAACTGCTTATACGAATACAACGTGAACAATAAAATGCCAGGTTCATGGAAAATGTTACCTTGAGCCTCTGAACAAATTTTGAAACTGTTGGTGGCGGCAAATGTAGCAAAAAAACCTATGGTTATTCCCAGTTTGGTTTAAATTATTCCCAGTGGAAGTTACTAACGTGGATTAAAGATAAACACATTGTTGAACGGTATGTCTGAGGACACACTACATTAAGTGAACTATACTCAAATCAAAAACAAAACTGTTTGTTCCTATTCTATATACCTTAACTACGTACTTCTATAATACGAATTACAGAAATTTGTTTCTGGAAGAGAGGTAGTTTAATTTCGGCGGTTGCTCTGTAGAGATGCTTTCTCTCTCTCGCTATCTCTCTATCTCTGGTCACTTGCGCCACATTGTCATATTAATTAGTATTTCGTAGGTAAAATTGATACACAACTATAACGATATAATATATTTATAAGTAATTGAGATTTTGCGCGTTACTAGAATTCACAACTATTTCACGAGATGGGAGGTTAACTGGGGAACTATGGTAAACTTATAAATGTATTCGTTGTATGGCAATGTATTCGTTCATTATTTATATTTTTCTTTTTTGTTGCAGGGTGGGTATCCTGCCAAACTAAAAAAGGTGCTCATTGTTACCGCGCCTCTATGGTTTAAAGCGCCGTTCAAAATACTTCGATTATTCGTTAGAGAAAAACTACGAGAAAGAGTTTATACTGTGTCAGTGGCCCAATTATCCAGTCACATCCCGAGGGAATCGCTTCCCACCCAACTGGGAGGCTCCCTAGTCCTGGACCATAATGTTTGGTTGTCGCACTGCATACAGTCAATGACTAGTACAAGACCAGAATCGCCGATTTCACATTATGGTAAGATATTTTACTATACTTAATATAAAAATTACGTTAAATTACAACAGTATCAAAATCGTGACACAAAAAAATAAAGAAGGGCTATCATTTTTTAGTATGACTTTAAAAACTAAAACACATTTCTTCACAGACCTTACATTCATAAACTATGACAGCCTTTATCATTGTGTAACCTTAATTTCTAGAAAAAAATAGCAAATTAGAAAACTATTTTACATATATGTCATTGTGTAGTTAAGTTTTTTTATCGAAGTTTTCAATGGTGATTTTTTATAAATACGAATGCATTTCGTTCATATAGCGTTGAGTTTGTCAAAAAAGCAAAAAACATTACAAAAGCGTTAAATCCTTTCATGTGAGCAGGTAATACTGATTACAAAAACGGAATTACAGTATCTTAAAATTATTTACCGAATGGTTGAATTGTTTTTCAATGTGTATTACAATGTGTAGGTAACAACTTTAGTAGGATTGTAACAACTTTATATTGGAGATCCTTGTTTTTTGTAGCAGAAATTGCCAAATGTAATTTTTCATATAGGATTGGATAACTTTTTTACTTTTCGACACATATTGCTCATTTTCCATCGTACTTAGTAATGTTTCACGATTTTTTATGATATTAAAATAACATTGCGAATGCAAAAATTTATCAATATATTCACCGGTACAAATATTTTGGAGGGAGCATTCTTCGTTGTCTCTGTAGGGTTTACAAGGATTATGGTATTTAGAATATTCTTTTCGCCTTTCTTAATCCTAGATAGCGTTCATTCATTATGGTAATTAATGTCACCTCATAAGTTTGATTGCATTCCAAGATATAAAGACAGAGTCTCCTTGCTTCATTTCTTCAGCTTTAGTTATGCCAACCACACCTCCAGTCACTGCTGACAATCGATTCTGAAGCTTTTTAAAAGAAAGTACTAACTGCATTTAATCTACATTATGTTTCGTATATAACTGCTGAAGGTATTTTTAACATATTTGCAAATAAAGAGTCATTCCGCGAATACAGTTAAACTGTATTTATGGAATAAATTATACTTATACTGTTTTTCACTGGTGTAACTTGCCGTAAAACTTATGTAGTGAACTCTGAATAATTTTTCAACTTTCAATAAAATCTCTTTTTCGAGCTACTGTTCTTTGAATACTTACGAACGACTGTGATTTTGGTTTCTGAAGCAAATCAACAGTTTTATCGTAAAACCAACACGAAACCTTGTTTAGTCTCTTTATTAAATTCATCGTATTTAACTTACTGTGCGCATTTCCTTAAAGAAAAACAAATGATTAAACACTGAAATACACAAATTATATTGGTAAACCTGATACAAAGTGTTTAGTTTCTACTGATGTTTAAATGTTGTACGACCACGCAAGCTATGACTTAGCAAGACCTAAATATAAGTGCAGAATCGAAGGAAAGGGACCAATAGGCTGGTGTATGCTGATAACACATTTTTTTGTAATTTAACGTCTTCAGTATTGAAATCTTGTGTTCAGTTACCGGTTCTCATATTTTGAATACTAAGCTTCCCTCCGTGTTCATATATTTATCTTGTATACTATGTATTAGCAGTTTTTACGCACAAACAGTACCCTCGTGAAGCTTTGTGTCTGTTTCCAAAAAGGCAATTATGAATTTTCATTTCCTAGACGCGGGAATTTGGGTGATTAACAAAACTATCAAAATGAAAATGAGTCTAATTGGAAAATATGATTTTGTTTGAAAAATCAACGTCTTCTTGTTCCAAACTTTATTAAACAAACTCTCCTCTCTGCGTTGTCACTACGTTTTTTATAAGTTATTGCCTTCATACTTATAACGTTCATTTTATACTGACAAAGCACAATACGTAAAATACACTAAAGATGTCGAAAAATGTCAACTAGTAAATCCAACTGTCCAGATAGATTCGGCATATGGTTAAGACTGACCCGAACAAACGTTCGGTTATCTACGCATTCAAAGAACTTGTGTATATATTTGAAATATGTACCTATATCCATACTATGTGTAAGCTGTTCACTAGAGTATTGCCAAATAGAACATCCTCTAAACAAGATAAATATTAGATAATAGATTAACCAGGATTTAGACAAGGGTGCAAGTACGGTTCCAAAATGCCATCAAAAAAATCACTACATTTGCAGGAGTAGATATTAGATCGGATCACCAACGCCTTGTAGCTGATATTAAACTAAGGTTAAAACGAATCCAATGATAAAAACCAAAACCAATATAATTAATTGTTAACGATATAAGCATAAAAGATAACATTAAAAAAGAATTTAACATTAGAATAAAGAACATAGGAAAGCAACTAGAAGATATAGATCTAAGATATAGAGAAACTATGGAATGAATTTAAATCTGCACAGACAATTATTATATAAGTTGATATAAGGTTGAATGCTCGAATAAATGAACTTTGATCAAATATATTATATAAGTATTATTATATAAGTAACTTAATCAAGAAAAATCAATGGATGACAGAAGACATTTTGAAATTCCACAAAAAAAGTCCACTTATAATATCAAATGACACAGAATAGAGACATCTACAGGGAAGAATTAAAAGGGAGATAAAATATTAGCCAAAGAAAAATGGACAAGAGAGAAAGGTGCGAGGAAATTGAGGATGGCAAGATTTTTTTAATGTGCACAAAAAGTAAAAGAAATAAGCAACATATTTAAGAAACATGTTCCCTCTGTACTACTTGATAATAACAAAAAAATTATTGTAAATGGGAACGAAATAAGAAGCGAATGGCAACTGTATATATCACAGTTGTTTGAAGACGACAGAAATAATATTACCGAATCCTACCAAAATTGGACTGAAGGCCCAGAAATTATGAAAAGAGAGGTAGAACACGCTTTAAAAATGCTAAAATTTGGAAAGCTTGTGATCCAGATGGTACACCAACTGAGTTGTTAAAGTTAGAACATGAAGATAACATAAAAATACTAGTAACACTTTTATTGCAATATATGTAGCACTGGAGTGATTCCAGCAGATTGGCTAAAATCTATCTTTAATATAATACCTGTTTGGTAGCTACCTATTGGGAACTGTCATAACAGATTAACTAGAACCAGACATAGAAATAAAACGTAGAATAACCTGACTAAAACTAGTTTATGAAAATGCAGACGTTTCTTAGCAATGATATTTAGAACTAAAATATAGAATGGTTAAGTGCTATATTTGGTCTATACTTTTATATGGAGCAGAAGTGTGGACACTAAAATTATCAAGTATAAACAGAATTGAAGCATTGGAAATGTATTTATTTATTATAAAATGTTCTAACACTTTGTTTATTAAAGTGTATATACAATATTGTATAAATTTATTTTTACACTATAATTATATAATTTATTTACATTTATTACAATTTATATTCCCGACAATACGCGCGTTACATTTCGAAACTTGACTCGATATTAATTTTAGACTGACTTGTTTACAATAAAATCCTCTCTCTCTCTCTCTCTCTCTCTTTTCTCTCTCTCTCTCTCTCTCTCTATATATATATATATATATATATATATATATATATATATATATATATATATATATATATATGTAAAACAGCTGCTTTTCTGGAATCCCTTCGAATTCCGAAGGCGACCTGTGTTGACCCTTCCCGAATAGGATGGAACGCCAGACAGGTTTTTTAGCAGAGCGCAGAACCTACCAGAAAATACTGGTTAGAATAATAAAATGTTTACAGGTTAAATATGAGTCATATCTATCGTAACAATACCTAGGACAGCAACAAGAACTAATAAGGAAGTACTAAGGCGGGTCAAAAAAGATAGGCATATGCTAAGACCGGAAAATATCTTATTTGGGGCATATAGCAGGGGAAATCGATATAAAATACTTAAGCTCATCCTTAAAAGCAAAATAGAAGGCCGTAGAGATTTAGGAAAACAGGTTTCTTCGCTAAAAAACATTCGTGAATGGACTCGGATATCAAATGTACGACAATTATTCCATTTGGCAGAAGATCGATAAGCAAGATCACAAGATCACAATGGTGATCGCCAACGTCGGATAACTCTAACATGGCACGTGAACAAGAAGATAAATGCGGTAGACCACATACATACAGTAAGACAAGTAATGAAGAAATCACATGCATACAACACACTTTATATGGTTATAATAGATTTCGGAATAGCATTCGATACGATAGGGAAGTCGGCATTAATAAATGTGCTTACGGTAAACCTAGTAGACTATTGATATATAAGTAGTTCATTAAAGACATGTCATTTGCCTATTTACTGACACTCAACCGATTGAAAGAAAAATATGTATTAGTCAAGCAGACCCGCTATCGCTGCAACTCTTTACTAACCAATTGTAACCAACCAATAATAGAGGAATAAATATCAACTGACTCTGTATGACAAACTTGATATTTGCAGGATGCATATTTGCATATATTGCTGTCAAAAAATTTGAACGAACTGAAGGAAATGATAAGGAACAAAATCATTACAAATAAGTAGAGGCGTAAGACAGGGTGATACAATATCACCGAAACTTTTCAATCAGGCTCTTGAAGATACTGTTAAAAGATTAGAATGGGAAAACAAAGGTATAAAAATTTGTGGACAACGCTTGAACCATCTAAGGTACGCTGATGACATCGTATTGATAACCGATAAAAAAGAAGAATTATTTAAAATGATGAAAGAACTGGACGTAGAAGCGGGAAAATATGAATTACAGCAAGACCAAAACTATAACAAATACAGATGAAGACATCACAATGAGAATCAGACAAGATGAAATAGAACAAGTTAAGGATTATATATATATATATATATATATATATATATATATATATATATATATATATATATATCTTGGTCAAACTATAAAACTTAACAAAGAGAACCAAACAGCAGAGATCAAGAGACAAGTTAGACTGGCATGGGCGGCATTTGGCAAACTAAGCTACATTCT